TCACTCGAAGTCTCAGAGCGACTTACAAACTTCTCTCTTCCCCTCCCCACAACAGACACCCTGTGAGGTAGGTGGGGCTGAGAGAGCTCTTTTCAGAACTGTCCTTGAGAGAACAGCCCTGACAGAACTATGGCTTGCCCAAGGTCATCCAGCAGGTGCAAGTGGAGGAGTGGGGAATCAAACCTGGTTCTCCCAGATTAGAGTCCACACACTTGACCACTACACCAAACTGGCTTCATGGTAGAATAAGGATTTGAGTCCAAGTCTCTTTGGTCAAAGTTCCTCATGCTTACCCCTCTATCGCACTGCTTTTCTGCAACAGAAGGGATCTGAGCCCAGATGCTATGGTAAGTCTATGGGTATCAGCAATCTACCCCTGTGTGTATCTGTGTGTGTATGTGTGTATGAACACAGTATATGTTTACAACAGCAGGAAAAAAATGTATCTTTCAGATTATCTGAACTAACTAGCAAGGCTTTTAAAACCAAGGCATTATGCAAATGAAATCAATCAGTTACAGCATTAAAGAACGGCCGGGTCCTAACCTTCTCAATGGTGCCAAGCAGAAAACTGGCCATCATCTGTCCTTGGCACCTGCACGAAATCCTACCCATCAGCTGGTGCCTGTTATGAATAGAACCACAGCCAAACATTCACCACATCAGAAGGAATAACCAACAGATGAACCTGGTAGTACCAGTCCAAGATTCCGGGAAATGCTACCGAGTGCCAGTTCCATGGGCCTTGTGATGAGTGAAGTTTCTCTCTTCAGCATGTCAGTTGTTTCAGCCAACAGCTGAAGTCTGTCAGGAGGCAGGAAGAAAGCAAATGGACACTCGTTGCTGCTTAGCTCTGGGGGAGTGAGGCTGAATGCCACTCTGGAACAAATGGCAAAGGTCTTCCTAGAGGCAGCAGCAGGAGAGTTGAATTCAACTCCATAATGAAAACAACAGTACACAGAAAACCATGGAAAGACGGTATTAATACATCTCATTTTCTATAAGCATAACAAGTAAACTTGAAAGTGTTTTGTTTAGAGACCTACTATGAAGGCCACCATGGTAGCACCTGGTTTAAGACCTCACCACAGTTTTGGCCAGCTTCAGCAATAAGTGGTTAAGCAACAAAATGTAAAACCAGTCCAATCTCCCCTGAGGACAGAATGTATTTCAGTTCAGATAGACTGCCTCTTACACTGTCTAAACAAAGATTTTACTACAGCACTTTGAAATAGTCTCCAAAACCACTGAAACCAAATTTGTTTCCAGCATTATTCAGCAGCGTAAATGGGTTCAGCAAGGACCACCTTTATGCTTTGTGTGTGTTCAGTGCTTTAAGTCCTGAATAACTCTCTTGATTCTAATAAATAATGAAGAATAATTCACACAAATACCATAAGTGATATTTTCCTGAAATGGAAATAGGCCATAAAAAACAGTTCTCACCCAATTAGGGTTTTGCCAAGAAATATTGCCACCTGACTTGGGAAATCTAAATAATACCTCCCTTACTATGAAAACAGGATAATATATAACTGCCAATTTGTCATTCTTCTGTGGCACCCAGATGTGTTGCCCAAGGCAGCTATCTCATAATACGAGGGTTGGCTACTATCTTGTAGTTACTAATAGTTTCTGCATAATAGTAGATATTAGCTCAGCCACTTTGAACCATGAGGAAAGGTGGGGTGCAAGTGTTTTAATAAATAAAATGTATGGTGATCATGGCAACCAGATCACCAGGGCTTTTTGGGGTGTGGGATTATAATGGGAAATATGCAGCCTGAAACTTTCTCTTATAACTCAGCAATAAAAAGGTCTAGAGGATTTCTTTAAATGACAGCTGGGAACTAGTACATGGTAGCAAGGAAGTTATAATATTATGTTATAGCGAACATGTGCACAGCCCTGCTGGATCAGACCTGTGGTCCATCTAGTCTAGCATCCTGTTACACACAGTGGCCAGCCAGTTCAACAACAGGCCATACAAACCAAGGCCTTCCCCTGATGTTGCCTCCTAGCACTGGTATTCAGAGGTTTACTGCCTCTCAACATTGATGTCCCTTTAGTAACCTTGGCTAGTTGTTGATAGATCTCCCCTTTTAAAGCTGTCTTTGCCTGTGGCCTGTCTCATCACTGGAAAAGACAATGATGCTAGGAAAAATAAAAGGCAGCAGGAAAAGAGGAAGACCCAACAGGAGATGGATTAGCTCAATAAAAGAAGCCACAGCCCAGCATCTTGACGGCACTTAACACACACACGCCTGTGGCCATCACTACATCCTCTGGCAGCAAATTCCACATTTTAATCACATGCTGTGTAAAGAAGTATTCCCTTTTGTCCGTTCTGAATCTACCACCCATCAGCTTCATTGGATGCCCTCCAATTACAGTATTTTGGGAGAGGGAGAAAGAGTTCTCTTTGTCAACTCTCTCCGCCCCATGCATAATTTCATAAACCTCTATCATATCCCCCCCCCCTCAGTCGTTTCTTTTCAAAACTGAAAAGTCCCAGACTCTTCAGCCTTTCCTTAATCATCTTGGTGGCCCTCCTCTGTACTTTTCCCAGCTCTGTGACATCCTTTTTGAGATATGGTGACCAAAACTGCCCACAGCATTCCAAAAGAGGCCGCACCGTAGATCTATACAGGGGCATTATAATATTGGTTGTTTTAGTTTCAATTACCTTCCTAATAATCCCCAACATAGAGTTTGCCTGTTTCACCACTGCAGTACACTGTGTTGACACCTTCATTGAGCTATAACCTCAAGATCTTTTCCCCTCTCAGCAGGTTCAGATCCCATAGCCTAAACTTAAAGCTGGGATTTTTTGTTCCAATGTGTATTACATTGTGATCTAACTATTACTGGGTTTTTTAAAAATATCATGAAAAAGCCCTCTGATGGCATGGGCAAGATGGCCACTGCAAGGCTGTGGTAACAACAATGGTGTCAGTGTGGGCAGGACAAGCAAAACTGTGTACCTTCCCACCTACACAACATCCAATGGCGTTTTGACTGCAGTTGTTTCAAAAAGATCATATCAGTCCAGGTTTGGAAAAGAACACAGCAAAGAAAAGAAAAACAATCAAAACAGGACAAACAGGACAAACAGAGGACAACGTCGGGTGGATACTCCCATAAACAATACTGCCAGGGCAGAGCTGAACAGCCATGTGGAAACAACCCAGATTCTTTTCAACCTGTGACAGTCCCAGGAATCTAAGATCTCCCTAACTGGGGGGAAAGGCTGCAGCCTAACTATTCTGAATTTATACGTAAAGTTGAATGTCAGTTTAAATTAGTACCAGTAAAACGGGAGCATTGCTCAAAGTCTGACCAACACAGCAGTGATCTTATGACTAATAGATTGTGTAAAAGCATGCAGTTGTATCAATTCCACACCATCACCTAGGAAGTGTCTGTTAGTCTGTGAACAAGAAAAGCCACCCACAAAACACTTGTAAATAGAACAAAGTTCTGAGAAAATGTTTGTACATTTACTGGCCTAGAAGCTGATTTCCTAACTATGATAAATCTGTTAGGTAGAAACATAACAGAGACATGTATGAAGAGCTCACATCAAGGTGAGAGGAATGGCTGGAACAAAAAAGATCAAGAACTGTTCTTTTGCATTTCCTTGGGACAGAGCCAGCAAGTCCTAAGCACTAAGGAGCAGCTGAACACTCTAAATCCCATGCTAAGGCTCTCTGCTAATCACTGTGTCTGATTGTCTGGACAAAAGTATTCAATAACTGAATTCATTTCCCTTCTCTCCATCTAGCTGTCTAAAAACTCATATCATATCAAAGCACACGTGCGTTTGTGGCCTGCCATCCTAGATCTGGAAGGAAGAGAGACATAATCACCCACAAAGGGAAAGCAGAGATATACAAATATATCATGTTCGCATCTGAAAGCATTCTCGTTCCAGATCCAGAAGGGTCTCAGTGTGGCTGTAGCTTTACAAGTTTTACTCCACAGATCAAATTTCTCCTGCCAGGCTGCTTAAATCCCACTGACTTCAATGGGATTAAAAACAAGCTAACTTGCGGGCAGGATGGCAGCCTTGAGTTGTGGAGGGAGAAGAATTCTGTCTTAAACTGCAAGCATTTAGGGTCCTAAGAGCCTGTCTTCAAGACCACATATGATCATAGTATTTCATTATTTCAACTGCAGACAAAAAACATAGTCTGCAAAAAAGCACAATGTACTGTTAAAACAAATATAATATTTATCTTGTCCGAATAGATATGATACAAAGAGGGGGTGGGATAACATAATTGGGAGCAATGGGGAGGGACAGAGACCTGTACAGAGTTTACATGTCCTACTGTCCCTCCCTAATGAAAACACTTACCGATCCCTTCTTATTTTCTGAGTCTTTTGCAGTTTCAAACCTTTCTCCACAATCAGAAACCTCACATTTACTGGGTTGTTGTTTTTTTTTTAAGTGATTCCCAAATCAACAATTGTTCGTGGCTTCTGGACTGTCAGCTCCACCATGACAGCATGAGTCACACAGCCTAACCGAGCGCAGACTGCAAACCTCACCACTGTGTTCCTGATTCAGGGTCTAGTAGGATGTTTCACACACTTTTACACATGTTAAATGATGCACATGATGCTGCTCAATGGACTGACAATGATGAAATGGTTATCTCTTCCATATAATGGGGCGGGGGTGGGGGGAGCTGAGATGCACGCAGATTCAGGAAGGACTTTGGCAACAGAACTCTTTAAGCCAAGAATGCCTATCCAGGGGGACAGAGCTATTTTTGCTGCACTACCATTGACAAAATAGACATCTTTGGGGAGAAGATCTTGATTCAGTGTTTATCTAAGTGTGTCCTTCTTCTTCCCCTCTACATCTGCCTTGGAATGAAACCGATGTCATTAGTCCTTTAAACGAGGGGAAAGAATTGTATCACCTGCCCTCGGACTTTCTCAATTTAATTTACGAAGAGGACAGCGCCTATGTGTAACCAAGAACAACTTACCCAGCTGGTAACTTCTGCGTGGTAGGCAGTTGCCTGCCTCTGAAGGACCCTTCTCTCTCTACATTGCCTGTCCTTTTCAGAAGAGGGCCTGCTGGAGGCTGGGGGGCAGCCGCAGGGCCAGGGGGATGATACTCTTGCTCTGGAATCACCTCTTCACATCGTAAGCCTCTGAAACCTGAACGGCAAATGCAGAGCTGAGGACGACTGCAGGATCCTTTGTTCTGGCAGGGAGGGTCACATACAGCTGAGGAGGCAAAAGAAAGCATTAAAAGAGAACAATGATCCCTACTGTGATAAACTATATAGCCCAGAAACAGCAGCCTGAGGGATGAAGTAAGACATGGTGCAAACAGATATAGCAATAGCACAGGAGGATTTTCTCCTGCATCTTCTTCCCAAGATTGCAATTACATGACAGATGTATATACCAGCTATTTTAACTGCAGTCCATCAGTCTTTCCCCTTTCCACCATGTTTCTGGAGCACTATCCACCTTCTTACAAATTTTGCAAACTGTCACATGTCTATTTAGTTATTAAATGTTAATATATCACCTTTTTAAAAAATCACAATCTCTTTAAAAGGAGTTATACTGGGAATAGGAGGAGCAGCTGGTTATGTGGCACACACAGCAGCCAGCCAGTCAGGACTCTGGACAATTGGCTTCCTTTGCAAGCTCTCAGAACTCAGTTTTTCTTGAACTCAGTTCTGGTGAGGAAACGGTTTGTTTAAACAAAGAATAGTAAATATCAAAGTATCCTCACTGCTCAAATACCATTACATCTATACATGCCTCAAGCTTAGACAACTGAAGACAGTTCCTTTAGTTTGATTTCCATTGGAGAGCCCCGTTCATTCGTTTGATTGCTTATTGCCAAGAAAGGTAAATTTTGAACTCTGGGATAAGACCATTTCAGCTAACATATTTCAGAGAAAGCACATTTGGCCTGGACCAGACTCACATAGATAGTCTAGAGATATGTATGGAACTCACAATATAGATAGAGATCCTAAGATTTTGCCACTACAGGATCTCTGCACAACTTAATCTGAATTTTACTAGATCCCAAAACAGATATAGGTTTAGCATCCCTGCCAAGCATAGCTACAAGTCTAAGCTGTGCTAAGTTCACTGCCCAAGAAAGGCATGAATGCATAGGAGGAGAGATGCCAACTTTGAGATAAAAACCACTGTTCCCTCTATGCTGAGTTATTGTGAGCTAGCTCACAGTTTTTTAGCCTCCAGCTCACATATTTTTTGTCTTAGCTCAGGAAGGATGGCTCCAGAACAAACTATTTATGCAGTAGCCAAATCACTCGCTCACAATTTTAATGCCAATAGCTCACAAAGTAGAATATTTGCTCACAGGACTCCACAGATTAGAGGGAACATTGCTGTCTCTTGAAAGACAAAAGCTCATACCTTGAATAAACCTTTGTTGGTCTTAAAGATGCCACTAGACTCTAAATTTGTTCGCTTGAAAGAAATGTTTGATCATCTAGAAGGCAGACTGAACATATGATCAAATGTTTTGTTACTTTCCATACACTTAGGAAAGGGGACAGGTTCCAAGCTGTCCCATCTGATCATGTACATTTCTATGTTCCCTCCACCAGCTAATTCAGAAGTCATCACAGTCAAATTCTTCAGCAATTATTGGAAGCTACAGTTCATTAACTTTGCACCCAAATCACCCTGGATTCTATGTATGCTCCTAATTACAGCACATCAACTTCAGCTGTAAACTCCAAGAGGAAACAAAGCACCATTAATTATTACTCACTAGGGTCTCACTCTTTCCTAAATTAATCAGGAGACAAATTAGTTTCCTAATCCAGCAATGTAACAGCTAGGAAGGAAGTTCATTTAGATGGGTTGCTCTCTACTTGAATGCAGCTTCATAGCAGTCTTCGATTGCTAATTGCGCCAAATGAATTTCCACCTTATTGGCTTGCTCTGGTAGCTTTGAAGGAGGTGCATCATGTAGAAAGGGGCCAGTAACACTGAGCAACAACTTAGGAGGAAGGAGCCCTGCACCTATACCAGAAGTCATTGCAAGATGGACTAATGTTGCCAACATTGGCTTGGAAAATTTCTGGAAATTTGAGGAGGCAAGGGAGCACAGTGGCAAGGTAATGCCATGGAGTCTGCCCTCCAAACCTCCGGGTGAACTGATCTCTGAAGTCCACAGAGGCCCTGTCATGCCTGCCCTTGACTCAGCCCCAGAGCCAGCTCCTGACAGCCTAAGAGGGGAGGATTCAGTGCCTTTAAGAGATGAAGAAGCATCAGGATCTGCACCTACTGTAAGTACTGAGGAGGATACACAGCAATCTGAGTCAACTACAGGATGGTTTGCACCTGGGATTGAGCAGGCCATAAGCAGCTCACCACCTGCATCTCCCCCACCTGTAAGTAGGCTTAGGGATCAGAGACGTCAGGAGCTGGCTAGCCGACGAAAAGAAGCACGTTCAAGAGGGTGGAGATCCTTGAGCCCTGAGTTTTAACAGCAGCCAGGACCTCGCACAAAGGTGCTAATGAGTTAATGGGCCAGAGCACTATTTAGTAGGGCCTCTGGCCATGAGCAATTTGTGCTGGCAACCTCGTTCGTAGAACCAGAAGCTCCACACCTTGATTCCTGTTTGACTCTGTGGCTTTTGGACTTGGCTTGTGTTTGGACTGCTCTGGCTCCTGACTTCCAGCTTTGAACCTGACCACGCCCTTGGCTTTGCTCCCTGTACTCTGACCTCTGGTAACGTTTGACTACGGCTTTGTCTGGTGTTTTGGGACTTGTTTAATGCTCTGCTGACTGCTCTCCCGGCTAACCTTTGGACTTGTATTGTGACTCCCCCTGTCTGCCTGCCTCCCTGGCTCTACCGTGACAGGCCCCAGCTGAGACTGGTAACTCTAAAGATGGCAGAGGCAGAAAGCCAGCAATGTGGCATGCTTAGCATGGGGCTCTGTAACTATGCTGAGCATGCAAGCCACATGCCTGTCCAGTGTTTACCATATTCCCCACTTTGTTTCTACTACCTTGCAAAACCTACCAATAAGGGCACTGGGGATCCTTCCCCCGAGGTCACTGTCCAGCAGTGACTTCTTCCATGAATGTCATACTACCTTGCAAGCTGCTGCTGTCTTTCTTAATAACCTATTACTTGTCTATTTCAGTGGTCCCCATCTTTTTGAGCCTGTGGGCACCTTTGGAATTCTGACACAGGGTGGTGGACACAACCACAACATGGCACTGCCTCCTCCTGCTCCCCAACAATCAGTCACTGCCCAGCCACGTGTCCCACGCTTCTTTTCCCTCCGCTGCCGCCTCCTGCAGGCTGGCAAGCAAGGAGGAAGAGGGCAGCCACGGTGAAGGAAAAGCCCAGCAGACAGTTGCCACTCAGCTGCACGTCCCACACTTCCCCTCCACTGCCTCCTCCTCCTGTGGGCTGGCAAGCAGAGCAAGGAGGAGGGGGGAGCCAGGGCAAGAAGGTAAGCACAAGCTGGCAGGGCAGGGGCAGACCTGGGGGTGGGGCACCAGGGGGGTATGCTGCAGTGCCACTGTTTCCCAGTTTGGGGTCCTTGTGGTTGGGAGGGGCTGGTTGCTCCGCAGGGGCTGGAGAGCAGGCGATGGGTCCCCCACTACCCCCGATGTGATGATGTCCCTTCTGGGTGACGACAGCCTGTCAGGGATGTCCCCACCCACTCTGGGAATGTCCCCCCAATCCCACCACCAGTAAGATAAAGGGACCTAGCCACCCCAGGCACCACATTGGGGACCCCAGGTCTATCCTAAAAGGGGCATTCCAAATGACTGTCACAGAACAAGAAAACATAGATTGATAAGATAAATAAGCATCATAACAATTACTCTTAGAGCTCTAATTAAGATGGCAGTCAAGCAATCAAAAAAACAAAAACAAAAAAACCTCCAGGTAGCAATACGGCAAGTGAACCAAATCTAGGAGACACCACAATTTAAAAAAATTAAAAAATTGCTCCATTACTAGAGAAGTAAAATTTGCAGAAATGTTTTTTGGGGGGGAATGAAAATTTTGGGGAAAATTGAAATATATGCAATACTTACTGTCCTATCAAACCTAAACTAATTATACTGCATTACAAAAAATGCATCATTTATAACTTAGCATACAAAACTGTAATACTTATGGAATTTAAAGTTGTAAATGCCTTCATTTTCTACAAGCAAAAATGCAAATATACCCAATACTTGAGAGAAAACTGCAAACTGTTACCCCCTACGATGCCTTAATAAACATACCTTAATCTTTTGCTATCTGAAAAGTAGAAAAAATAGTCATTAAACAGAAAACACACGATGGGGGTAAATAGCATATATTATTTGATCAGAAAGGGGGTCCTACAAAAGGTCAATAAAATAACATCTGCACAGCAAGATGTAGGTACAGTTAAATGATTTCTTCTTCCTTCTGCAGCTACTTGTTACAGAGAGCTCAGTTCTTAGTGCAACTTTCAGAATTTTCCTGTGAGATTTTGGTGCAGTTTCTGCCCCACCTCCTTCTGATCTTTTTTTTTTTTACTTCCAGCAATGTAAACCAATAAGCTACTCCTTACCCAATCTGTGGGTATATGTGTGGCAGAGGCTTGAGGGAGAAGTGACAAGGTCAACCATAAGGGAAGAATCAGGTCAGAAGGGCAACAGAACCAATGAAAGCCCTACATGATTCCCTCATGAAGATTGATATCCTTCTTGGTACAGAAATGCATCTTGTATTTAAGAGCAATATATGTCTACAGCATGCCGACATTGTCTTTAAAAGCATTTCCCTCATTCTAAAAGAGAAAAAATTGTCATAGAAGTTTTTTTTTCAGTACTCCCCAACTTTCCACACACACAACACACAACAAACCTTTATTGGCATACCAACAGCAGCAGCCTTAGGTACAGGGGCGGTAGGCACGCAAAACAGTTAATTCACTACCCCTTCTGCCGAAAAAGAGCTTCTGCTCCTATACGCTCTGTAAAGGAAGTTTGCCACCTATTCAGTGGTATCAGCCCTGTTTGAGGTTAGAAGGTTCATTATCTTACTTTCCTCAGATTTGCCCTCCAGGGTTTGCAATATAGGGCCGAGGTGATAAGTGTGCAAATCCTGGTAAAATCTACAAGTCAGAAGTACATGGTCCGTTCCTTCAATCTCCCTGAGCCCACAGGGATATAACCTATCTGGGAATGGTATTTTTTTTTAATCTCCCATTTAACACAGCTGAGG